CCCTGCCTAGGCGGTTAACATCACTCCAGCACGCCAGGGTCACCAGATTCACCTGCTGTGTGTATCCTTTAATCTGTAAGCATGTGAGCTCCTCTTTTCAGTAGAAATGCCAGTTTAAACTCACCGTCTACCAAACATCAATTTGATTGGACTCCTGATCACTATGTTCCTCCCTCATCGCTCTCAAATACTTCCTGGCCCCTGAGGAATTCAGGAAGGGCAAGGAGGAATTCATGTGATGCAAATACGGAGAAAGATAAGAGCAACTACTGAGCTGCTGGGACTGTGATGCCGCTTCCAAAAGTGCATGAAATCGACTAGGAATATCAAGAAGCAAAAGACACAGTCTTATTGTTCTTGTGAGAAGATAAATTTGCAAATGTTTCACCATCATAAGGAAAATCATAAATATTTTAGGTAATGACTCTGGATAGTAGAACAAAATTTCATGGTTTTAGAGTCCCCCTTCACATCTTCTAGAGAGAAGTAAGAGATGTTGAGTGATCTTAGTGGTGGACATGGGAAGTAGGAGAATGCCTGCCAAATCCACACGCTAAGGGTGCCTTCCCCTGTCCTCACCTCCCTGGTGCAGACCTCTCGATCAGGGCAACCGAGGGGCAGGAGGAGCAAGAATAAGCATCTCCTTCCTCTGGAGAAATAGTGAGTCACCGTTGTTGGGCCTGGAATAATGACACTAAGTCTTTATCCACTGCAATGATGAGACCACCCTCCCTGAGCCTTCTGAGGAAGTGTATTTCTGTCCTTGATGTATGCTGATAGTGTTACCTTCTCCAGGTAGCAGATCTCGCCCATAAATGCATAAGCTGTAGCCACATTTATTTTCAAGAACGTCAGGCAGAATCTGGTGAACAAAGTACTCCACAGAACAGGTCCCCTCTGGACTCTCTTTGTGGGTCCGTGGATAGATAACATAAGCATCATAGATCTTTCCATCTGAAAGTGAGAGCAAAAAGTACAACTTTATTATGTGATTCTAAGAAATTAGTATTCGCCATCAAGTTTTATGGTTATTGATGAATGTATCCAACACCCCAAAATATTGTAGAATCTAGAGATGACTATAGTATGCTGCCACAAATGTCATCAGAAAATCAATCTTAATTTCAAAACCTCCTTTTTACTATCCCAGACGGAATGAGAGAGAACAGGCAAGAGGCTGGAAGTTTAGTTCAAACCATATTGTCACATTTAATCAATACTCTATTAACAAGTATGTATAGTCACGGATAAGGTATGCTGTGCTGTAAGATCTTGATCTTGTCTTTTGTTTGCCTGATGCTTCCCCTGGGGAGATAACATTGCTAAAGGCTGATAGTGGCAAGGGAGTAAAATGTTTCAGGGAACTGAGTTTCCAAAAGATCCAACAAGTAGCCCGAGTGGAGTGGACCCTGTGGACCAGCTGAAGCCCATCTGCCTCCGAGCGAGGTATTCACAGGCAGAGGCAGAGGCAGAGGCAGAGCTGTCTTCTTCCATGTGCGCGCCCCAGGCCTTGGTCAGACGGTGCAGCAGGGCCCCTGCGCGCTGCTGGACCTGTCTGACCTCTGCACGTCTGGGAACAGGAACAATTTAGTTAAGTTTAAATTCCAAAATGTGTAAACCTTTCTGGGACTTGGGCAGAGTCTGTTACTGGGGCTTTAGCAGGAAAAGCAATCTATTGGGGAGGAAGTTCGAATTGTTAATTTGCATCTTAGAATCACAAGGAGTGACAGGCAGGATGAAGAATGGCTTCTGAGTGGACTCAGAAAGGTTTGCGGAGCACATGCTGGTAAACAGAAGGAAAACTGGGTTTTGTAGCATAGCCATTAAGAGAGTAGGAGACAAGCAACAAAGAGCTATTATGGCACCTTTTCTTTTGAAGAACTCGAAACTTGCACTTACCGTTCCTGGCTTTGTAAGGCCTCGCTATGTCCCTCCAGAGAAGAATAACCTCAATCCAGAACACCTTCAGCATTATCACCATGATATTAATGAGCATTAACAATATGCCAAATCCAGCAAGCATGTAGTAGGTGCTTTGACGATCAACTATTCAAAAGATGTGGGAGGACAAAAATTATTACTGTGAAAATGAGCATACGAGGCATAGAGACACGTAAACTTAACTCAGGTAGGAAATAAAAGCATATATCAGAGGTTTTTAGAAGGAGTGCTCACTCCATGCTGGACTGGGAATGAAGACTTCCTGCAGGAGGCGGTCCCTGAAAAGGCAAGATTGAGATTGTTGCAAAAAGAACTGTGTTACTCCTGGCAAGAGACAACGCTGTGAGCACAAGGGCAGGATGGGAGTATGTTTTCTGAGGAACCGGAGTAATTCAGTTTGGGGAATGAAGATATGTTAAGAATCAAGGCCACAGCTAAGGCATTTCGCCTTTATTCTGAAGGTCATGGGAGCCAACGAGGAGCGTTGTGTGAGTGTTAACAATGAACGTGACTTTCAAGCAGGATTAATTGGATGGCGGTGGAAGGCTTGTTTCTGTGGAAAGAAACTTGGAGTAGAGTGGGCAGCAAGTTTCTGCAGCTTGGAGTAAGAGGTGAGGAGGGCTCGAACTCATGCAATAATGAGAAAGGAGTGGACGAGCCCAGGGCTGGGGCACTAAGGAGAACGCGTCAACAGGTCTCGGAGATTTCTGAATCTGGAGTTGGTGGCTGGAGGAGTGGGGAAGAAGCAAGAGCCACTTAAGCCTCTAAAGCTCTCTGGTAGGGAAGTCAAAGCTCCGGGCTCTAGGGCCCACACAGACCCCTTACCTCTCTTATGGTGGACTTTACTTAGCCATCACTGAACTGTAGCCTGCACTCATTGCCCCACAAAATACATTTGCGTGATGGTCCCCATCTTCAAGGACTTGTGACTGGTATGTGCAAACTGAACATAAGAGCTGTGACCATTAACGGTCTTGGTGGCTGTTTCAGGGTTACTTCTCCCTTTGGAACTGCTAACTACCATGTTTTGCATTAACCCCACTCAGTGATGTGCATGAGAAGAATCTCAAATGAGAGTTGGTTATATAGTTCTCCTTTGATTTTCACCTTAAACCTCAAAGCATGGGCTCCCAGATTTGACATGGAAAAGCACGGGCCCATATTCAAAATTCCCTCCACTTGCTCACCACTTCCTGTGCGCCCAGCACCGTGAGACCAAGAATGGCCAAGACAGACTGAGGAAGACAAGCACCATGGACGTCACTCAGATGTGGGATCTAATGAATAAAATGAACTAACAAGCAAAATAGAGCCAGACTCACGGAGAGCAGGTGACAGCTGCTGGGATGGGGTGGGACAGAATGTGTGGAGGGGAGAGATTGAGCAAAAGGGAAAAAAGAAGAGAATATTCATGGACATGGACAACAGTGTGGTAATTGCCGGGGGAGGGGGCTGGAGGAGGGGGAGGAGGGTAAAGGGGATAAATGGTGATGGACGGAGACTTGACTGGGGGTGATGGACACACGGTACAGTGCACAGATGTGCTGGAGAATTATGCACCTTCAACCTGTATGGTTTTGTTAACCATTGTCATCCGCCCCCAAAACACACCAGAAGTATATCACGATGCATCCTAGAGAAAGCCCTCCCGCACCACCAACGGAAGAGGTGACACTTTGAACTCTGTTAGAAGTAAACAGGGCACCCACTCCTTACTCTGCAAGTCAGCAAACAGGCGGAGGACTGGCGCTTACCCTGCCTCTCCTGCAGGCACTGGACCAGTTAGGGTCACCAAGCAGCTGGGGGAACGAGGGGAAATTCCATTTCACAGCGTCCCAGCTAATGAGTGTGAAGGCGAGCGGAGTTACACACTGACCATTTCCGCAACTCCCGCTAAAATGACGGCTTCCTGCGGCAGCCTGGGGGCCGGCAGGAAAAGCTGGGCCACGGCCGGGGGAGGGAGGATGATGTACAGGACTGACCGGCAGGCTGAGGTCACCGCCAGGCAGCCAGACCTGCGCCTCGTGCCTTCATGTGATATGAAAGCCACAGCACCATGTGTGAAGCATCTTGTTAAAACACATCTGAGCCTGACTTTAAAGGGTGGGCATGTCAGCCTTAGAAAGAAATGAAATCCTGGCTCAGGTGGCAGGAAGAATGCTGAGTGAAATAAACCACACATCAAAGGGCAAATATTGTATGAGTCCACTTACATGAGGCCCTAAAATAGGCAAAAGAATAAAAAAGAAAAAAAGAATGGCCAGGACCCTGGCAGAGAGCTCACTGTGCCGCGGGCGGTGTAAGCGAATGCCCCCTAGCACAGGCGCCCACCACAGGCCTCCGCAGCTCCCTCCTGCAGCTCCCGCCCTGGGCGTGGCTGCCACTTCCAAGGAAGGAGAGAAGTTAACCGGGACATCAGAGCAAGTGGCTCTGTGCCTTCCCAGGTGTCAGGGCCTCATCTACCCGTTAATGTTAATAAAGTGCAATATGTTAATTAGACCGGACGTCCTTCTGGACGAAGCTGGGGCTGCGAGGGACACTGGGGTGGGTCCCAGGTGCCAGAGGGAAGCCGGTGCCGGCAGCGGGGATGGGGGGTGGGGGTGGGGGGAAGGCCTGCTCTTGCACGAATGTCGTGCACCGGGCCTCTAGTCAGTGCGTAAAGGCCTGTTTTTATGAGACGACTGAGCACTGACTGCTCCCTGAAAGTGCTTACAAACGGAGCGCTGCCTGCGTGTGGTCGTGGCCCTGGAACCCCAGAACTGGGCAAGCTATTGGCCTCCCTGCACCCCAGTTTCCGCATCTTTACAATTAGAGGATAGTAGCAGCCCTTCTCATGGATATTGACTTTTAACTAAGGGGAAATCAAATGGAGAATAATTAGGTCCTGGTACAGAGGAAACAATAAACATGTGTAATAATATTATTATTATGAGTATCGCATATTTATTGAATAATATTTAATAATATGGGGATATAGGCCTTTTAAGTTTTTGTTTTTAAAATTAAAGACAATGCTGTAATTTCTTTTATTCTATGATTAGAAATAAAGAAATTCGTCATGACAGTACAACAGTAGCAACCATTTTTGTTTAATTTACACAGTTGTTGAGACAGAACAAAACCACATTGATGTGAAGAAAAACAGGTGAAAGGTACCAAATACAGATAAACTAGAAGGAACAAAACACCAGGCACAGGGAACATGGAAGCAGTCCCAGCCCCAGGTGCCAGAGAACGTTCCTAAAGTGGCAACATCAGCAATGCACAGGAATAAGGTTTTCTCACTGGAACGGACAGAAATTAAATACTTCACCATTCCGTTCACTTTGCCAGCTTCACTAACAAAATGTGTGCTTTTTATGACAAAAATACATTATAAAAGGGATGATGCTTATGACATGATATATGTTCACAGACTGCTGTCTTCTTTCACACACAGTGGGCAGGAGGCCCAAGGAAGCCGCTGTGAGGCAGAGAACCAACAGGCGGAATGGGGTCGAGAGCTGAGGGAGGAGGGGGAGGAGGGGGAGCAGGAGAAAGAAGAGGGCAGGGGAGGGGAGAGGTGGAAGAAGGAAGTAAAGTGGTAGAGAGGCTGCCAGACACATTGGGAGGCGGCCCGCCTGCAGGGTCATGTGCTCAAGAGGAGAAGCCCCTTTGCTGGGAGGCCCTGGGCTGTCCTGCGGGCCCTGCTCTGTGAGAAAAGGCTTTCAGCTCACAGCTGATACAGCAGGCTCGTGACCAATGCCTCGGAAACACTCCTTACTTGGCTTTTTCCTCCTGAGTCGTAGCGAGCGCCTTCTCACGCCATGGAGGTTCATGGCCTTACAGTCGTACCTCAGCAACAAATCCTCCTCTCTCACATCCGCTATCCTCAGAACGGAGCTCCGGCAGGTCACCGTGCTGCTGGAACTGAGAAGGCCACTGTTACCTCCAATGCTATTTTGCAGTTGCAATTGTGTGGGAGGCCAAGGGGGTGTTTCAACTTCAATATGAAAATACCTTTGATTTTGCTCTTGCTCCTGCCAAATTCTTGCTTCATTAAACTTACAAATGTTGGTCCCGTTAACCTGCCACAGGACGATGTCCAGGAGCTGCGGGCCTTTCCCAAAGCAAGCGGAGCAAGTGATGTTCACTGCTTTCCCTGCAGGAGAAGAAATTCACCAGTAAAATTAAATGCTGCAAATAGTATTTATTTAATGTGAAAAAATGGTTGATGACTATTCCCACCTCCCGTCTGCGCCGCCTCCCTCCCCGTTATCTTTATGTCCCTCACAATTAGGCTTCGAGCTCAGCCCCTCCAATCTCACCAGGAGAGGAAACCAGAGAGACAAATGCCTCCAGCTCCAGTCCCACGCTATAGTGCAGTATTTCCCTTTACTGTGAGCTGGCTTTTCTTCTTAACTGCTCTCCCGCACACATTTCTCTTCCTTTTGAATTCTCTTCATCTCGCTCCAGGCGAGTAAAACTGCTTTACCTGACCTGCTGCCATCCCAGTATTTCATCGCCCAAGAGCCCTCTCCTTCCAGTCCTTTAACGGAGACTCCCTCCCTCAGACCTGAGGCGGGCGGCCTCCCCTCGAGGGCCTGAGGACATGCATCCAGCCCTCCCTTCCCAGCTCCTGCCTCTAGAATTAGGTGTCTGGAGAGAGAAAAGGAGCTCAGGTCTCTACACGGGGGACAAGGGTGTAAACAAACAATGAGAACACAGGTGTTCTCTAGAGAGGTTGCGGCGACATGGGACACAGGGAGAAGTCCCTGCAGGGAGAGGCCGCCTGCTGCACAAGTAACTGGCGGCCCTGGCTCCCTGACAGCTGTGCTCCTGCTGAAGTGGGGGTGGGGGGGAGGAAACGGGTCTTCAAAGAGGCTTGCATTTGACCTTCGTGTTGAGAGGTGAGACGTGAGACAGTGGGCAGAAGCAGGCACAGAGGTGGAAATGCCATGGCCGTGTCACAGCCAGGGGTGGTCGGGGAGATGGAACTGGAGTGGGAAAAGGGCTGCAGATGAGCCAGCATGTGGGTGAGGACCAGTGGGGTGGGACGTTTATATGCAAAACCTTTGCATCCTCTCTCCCACCACTGGGGGGACCAGGAAAGGCGGAGATGGAGAGCCTGGTTCTGGCCTATCACTGAATATCCAGACCCTCGGGCATGTCATTGGTCCCCTTTACAAGCGTAAGGGGGACAGTTTCCACCCCGGACAGGAGGGACAAGGGCACAGGAGTTACAAAGTTGACTCCGGAGTAGGTGCCATGGATGGCTGTGACCACATGTCCCCACTCTGAGCCAGTGCCAGGGGCAGGGCTGCCGCCGACACCGCATGTAACCCTCAGGACGCGGGGCGCGCCAGCCCACCTGGGGGTCTCAGGCCGGGTGGGGGTTTCCAGGCTACAGTTACCGAGTTTTCTTACCGATTTCCACGTCCCGGGTCTCATTTTGTGGAGGTGCTATTATTTCTGGAAACCATGAAAAGCTTTCATCATCTTGAATCAAAGACCAGAAGAGAATACCATGTTAGAACAGCTTTTGGATGGTCATCAATATAAACATGTATTTCAAATTTCTATCCTATTTCATAGCAATGCTTCTCAAATTTCCTGCCGACAATGGCAGCAAATACACACAGACGCAAAGAAATAAAACTTTAAAATAAAATAGCATTTTCCCTTACTACTGATTATGCTCTTTGATATTTTTATTCTCTTTTATCTCATTACACAAATACTAGTCCAACCCATTAATTAATCGTACGACCTAACAATTGTCAGAAAAGTACACCTCAGGGAAGGGGAAATCAGAACACCAGTGAGAATGATCAACGCAGGAGCCCCGTTTCTGCTGCCTCCTCCTCCTCCCCCCACACCCACCCGTGGCCCAGCCTCTCAGGAAGTGCCGGGCCTGTGGCCTGGCACCCAGGGACCGAGTGCGGGCTGGCGCCCGGGTGACTGTGTGCCCCAGACTGGGCCCCACCACTGAGGGCCCATGGTTAGGAGCCTGCGGTTCCGCTGTGAGCGGTGATGGCTACTGGAGTGTGTTCCACGGCCCCTTTCCCTGTGGAAGCGGAGGGCCCACCAAAGCCTTTCTCCGCGTGGCTCTGCCCCAGGAAATCACACACAGGCCTGCTTCCTCCACACCCACGGCCAAGCCAGGCTAAGGGACCATCTGTGTCCATATGACACTCTTGATTGTGATATCTTTTCCCTGAATGGGCTTTTGTGGAGTTTAAAATAAATTGGAAAAAATTTATAATTAAGTAAACTACTTGAGGCCTTTGATGATGTTGGAAGCATTGCAAAGCAGGGCTGAAAGCCACTTGACAACACTCAGGTGTCTTTATAAAGGTTCTCACTCAACTTCTAGTCCAGTGAGTTACATCAGAGATTAAGTAGACATTTTCTATTTACAGAATCTTTGACAACAAATTGGGAAAGAAGCCAAAACCGGTTTGGCTCAGTGGATAGAGTGTCAGCCTGCGGACTCAAAGGTCCCAGGTTCGATTCCGGTCAAGGGCATGTACCTGGGTTGCGGGCACATCCCCAGTGGGAGATGTGCAGGAGGCAACTGATCGATGTTTCTCTCTCATCGATGTTTCTAACTATCTCTCTCCCTTCCTCTCTGTAAAAAATCAATAAAATATATTTTAAAAAAAAAAATTGGGAAAGAAATGTTAATCTTGCTCTTCAAATAGTTGTACTGCCGGTCAAAAACGTTAAGTTAGCATTCGATCACATTATCTTTGAAAATTAAGTAAAAAAGGAAAGAACAGGTGATTTTGGGCTAGTTTCCGTCTCCCTCTGGAATGTCTAAGTCTTGATAGTGGTGACGGCAGAGATGCCGACTGAGGTGCTGACTGACGCAGGAGGCGGCCAGGGCGGCGCAGGAACACCAACAGCAGGGCCACTCCTCCCGCCTGATCTGTTGGCAAATGTTCTGTCGTGCTAAGCTCTGTACTTACTGTGAAAGACGAACGATCTGGTTGCTGTCACATTGTAACTGACTCCATTTTCATTGTGCATAAATTTGCATGTATAATCACCCGTGTCCTCGCTAGTTGCATTGTCAATCAGCAAATAAGCCTCTTGTATGTAGTACCTTGGTCCTTGAAGAACTTTACAGTTCTGAAATACAAAATGCCACTCCACTCTTAATAATCCTTAACGTCCATCTATTTTGTGTAATTTCATTTATTTCCCCAAATTTCCTTTACCTTAAACCACTCAACAGGTGCTGTCCAATTGTAGCGCTGAATGGTAGGACAATATATTTGGGAATCTTTTGCTGAACCAAAGGTTGTTGAATATATCAGGCGATTTGGAATTTTGCAACCTGGTTGTTTCTTAAATATGGTGACATTCATATGTCCAGGCTCAACCAAGGTAGAACTATTAAAATAAGTCCAACAATTTAAAAAAGTTACTTAGCATTATGAAATGATTTTACCCAAATCTGGTTTATATTATTTTATGTAGATTACAGATGAGGAAATTGAGGGACAGAGAAGTAACTTGCAAGCATCCAGCTGACTAGTGATGGAGATGAGTCTGGAATTGAAACTTGTCTGCCCGCAGAACCTCGGCACCTAACTATGCCCGTCCTGCCTTTCAGTGACGTTCATCTGACATTTTGTCTGTACCAAATACAGCCAAAAACATGTGGCAGCCTGTCTGCAGAGTGAATCATCTGTAGGCCATAATCTCACATCCCTCTCCAATCGCCTCTCAGGTGCCAGGCATGGTGATGACCCTCCTGTGCCCCCGCAGGCCCGAGGTGCCCACTGCCTCGCTTACTGTTTGCTGTGCTGATTTACTCTCACTTCCAGCCAAAACTGAGCAGCTAGTCTCAATGTCTTGGTCACTAGAAAAACTAGGTTTTTTTTCTAACTGAAAAGACTGGGCTAAAAATTAATCTCTGCAGTTTTACATCCAAGTAGTTAGTTCATAAGCACTTACACCCCAACCTGAGCGTGTTCCTAGAAGTACTCTGTTACTCAAATCACTTTGCAAAGCCAACCACACCAGAAAAGTCTACAAAGAGAAGGAAGGTGAGGGCAGCTCAGGCTATCACCTCTTAGAGAAGAGAACGAGCCTAATGATCACGGTGACTGGTCCTACCTTCTGATCATGCAAGTGTAAACTCCAGAATCCTCAACTTTGGCTGGGAGAAGCTTAAGATATTCCCCTTCAGCAAACACACGATTTCCTTTCTGGGTGGTGACACTTCGGTTGGTGTTTGGGTAATACCACTCCACAGCTTGTCGAGCATTTTCTTGTGTAGGACATCTCACAAGTAAAGCCTCATTTTCCCAACCCCCGAATGATCTGCCTGCAAATTAAAAATATGAAATGATTGTGAAATGATTGCATAAAGATCACAATTCTTATACTCTAGGATAGTCCCCTCTAGGATTAAATTGAGAAATGAGCCACTCACTTTAAGTATCACTTTGTGATACTTAAACTGAGAAAGAATAAGTAAGTGATTAAGATCTTTTATGAAATGCTCTAATGCAGTGGTTCTCAACCTTCTGGCCCTTTAAATACAGTTCCTCATGTTGTGACCCAACCATAAAATTATTTTCATTGCTACTTCATCACTGTAATGTTGCTACTGTTATGAATCATCATGTAAATGTCTGATATGTAGGATGGTCTTAGGCAACCCCTGTGAAAGGGTCATTCGACCGCCAAAGGGGTCGAGACCCACAGGCTGAGAACTGCTGCTCTAATGGGTACCAGAGATTGGAGAGTCAATGTGGAACCACGTCCCCCAAACTGCTCCCGTGGGGAAGGCGTGTCCACTGTACACAGCAGGCTGTCACCCCAGGCGCGTGCAGGGCCCCCCTCGTGCAGGCACCCTGGTAAGCTGTGACATAGCTGAACATGTAAAACCATGTAAAACCAAAACGATGAGATATCTACGAGGAACTCATCTTCACGGATTTGTAGTGAAGAATGATTATAGAGCATAAATAAATTTCCAGGTTACAATTCAACTGGGATGGCTGTAAGCAAGCAGCTTAAAACAAGGCAAATGTTCTTGAAATTACTTAATTTAAAACATTTTAAATTACAGTTGCAAAGCAATACGTACTGACTGAAGCTGCTGTGAAATGTATAAGAACTGTTAGGATCGCCAAGACCGGAAGTCTCATTCTTGGTTTATCAGCTAGAGCAGCGTTGCCAACTGACTGTTGAAATTATTCAAGTTGAATCCCTGACATATGACGGTAAAGGTCTCCAAGGAGATCGATGGTGCTACTAGGATTTACCACTGGAAAGAGTCGTCAGTCTCTCCACTGAAAGAAAATCATACAAAATCACTTGTAAAATGTTTACACCCATGACTTTTACTCGCTTCGTTACACCCAGGAGAAGGCCCACACAGGAGGTTCTTGTGCAGAAGCATGGGAAGCAGCGGTTTCAGGAGAGCAGCGCTGCGCTGTGCCCGGACCCGGGACCCGGCACCCGGAGAACAACCTCGCAATGGACGCACTATTTCACTGTCTATTGACAATGGACTGAAAGAAGCTAAATTAAAAGCAAAGAAAATGAATTTGTATTTTTGAAGAAATTAAAAACATAAAATTTGACAGACCCTGGAAAGCACAACATTATTGATGTTAACATAAAATTACAACCATCCGTACAGGCTGGCAGCTGCGTGCACAGCCTGGCCACACTCAGGCACATGCACACAGTCCTCCGAGCGCCACGCAGGTGTGGGAGCGTGAGGGGTGAAGCGTGAGTCCAATAGTTGCCCTGGACACTGCAGCGACCCTCAGAGGGCCGTCCCTGCCCTGCGCGTCCCCAGGATGCACCGAGGCTTTCTGAAGGCACTGGAAAGTCTGTGGAAAGCAATTGCACACACTCCTTTCCTTCAGCAGAAGAATCACTTAACTATATCTTTTTTCTTTAAAAGTCAGGGGAGGGATGGAACCAATATAGAATTCAACAAACATAAGAATAAACACAACTTTTAAGAAAGCACGCTTCCTCTACACATGGGTTGTTGATACTTTTTATTAAATGAGTAGACAAGCTTTTAGCACAAGCTTTAGGTAGGTAATTGATACTCACCCGACTGGAGGACAGCTCAGGATCGCTGGCTCCGCTGCTCCCGCGGCTCCTCACGTGCCAGTGCGCTCTTGTTCCAAGGGAGCCCTGAGTCATCCTCAGGCCAGCACCACTCCGCCCACCACTCCGCCCACCCTCAACCTTGATTTTGGGCCAAAATTCATGACGTTCAAAAATGCTGGTGCATCATGTACCAGGAATTCCTCACGTTGGTGCACAAACATTTAAGCCTAAGGACAACATTCCTTCAGAGAGGAAGTACTCAAAATGCCCCCCTCTGTTTTAGCATCAGGTTCTCACACTAGAAAGTGCTTGCCATTTATCACCCTGACCTTATTACCATTTGGGTTCCGAATTAACTTGAATGCTGGGGCCTTGCAACCGCCCTCCCAGAATCCTGGACGCTTCCTCTGGCTCAGCCAGTGGGGGCAGATGAGAGTTTCAAAAGCAACCCCAGGGTCAAGCCTTGGAGCAGGCAGGCCTTGGAGAGAGCCTGCACATGTTTTGTTTATGATTCAGAGTGTGATGCAATCTCATCCAAAAACAGCTTCCAGCTCCTTAGAGTTAAGTCCCTGCTGGGCTCTCAGTTCTGATGGATAAAAGAAAGGTTTTCTAAGGAGCTCAGGGAACTAGAGGGAGGAGGTGAGTAAGAAGGCCGCCCCAAGGGCATGGCAGGAAGACATAATTCTTGGGCTCCCATGAAACCAATTTCAGCTCTGCATAGCTGGGATGACTCTATTTGAGTAAATGCAGCTTAATTCTGAAAGTCATCGCTTCCCAGAAGGATTCAGGGGCTAATTCCGGACCAGCACAGCATTATTAAGAATGATACTCGCTGAGCTTTTCCTAGAACTCGCTCTATGCCAGGTAAGTTCTAAGTGTCTCAAATGTACTGACTGCATCCCCATGAGGCGGGTGCTGTTATTAGTATTGCAATTTACAGACAAGGACGCTCAGGCACAGAGAGACTAAGCAACTGTCCAAGTCACAGACCTCGAAGGGGGAGAGCCGGAGCTGGACCCCCGCAGGCTGGCTCCAAAAGCGAGGTGCCTACTTCCAAGTCCTAATGCCACCAGGTAGGGGAGGTTAGGAGAGGACCGCTGCCCAGGGGGGTCCAAGCGGTTCCGGAGTGGACCACCGCCTTTCCTCACCGCCAAGCCCCGCCCAACCTGCACGCAGCTGATTAGATTATTAGTCGTGTGCACGGACTGAAGACAGTCTTGTCACTACTGGAAGACCGAAGATGAGATGTTTGGCATACATTTGGGGAATTAGGTCCACTCATTGTTAATCTCAAATTAGTTTTCAAAGTTCTTGATCCTGGGGAGGGGCGCTCACAGGAAGAGAGCCGCCGCTGTCTGACAGTGACTCACCTCACTAGCTATAGAGGAGAGGTTTTCTCACAGACCCTGGGGCACTGGAGGATGAAGCGAGGCTGTAAAAAGATAAGATGCCTCGATGGGTCCCTCACTCAGAAAAGAAATGTATCTGAGAACAGACAGAGGGCAGAGCAGCTTTCATTTGGTGGCTGCGCCGGGACCCCGGCCCCTCTGGGGGTTCACCGCAGGACGCTGACCACCCTGGGCCCCAGCACGGCTGAGCGTTTGTAACATCGTACATTAGCCACCTTGTTATCGGACTCTGAGCTCCCGAAGGCCGACTGCGGACCCTCCCTCCCCTTTCCCTGCTACACGGGCAGCTGCACGTAGCTGTCCCCCTCGTGTGTGTATAACCAGCAGCTGGCGAGGGGGTCAGAGCAGAATTCCAGGGCGACCTGCTGCTCCCCATTCTGCCGGCAGGACTGGAAGAAAGGCTCAGCGAGGATTCAGCCCTGCCTCTTAGGGGTTGGCTCCAGCAGGGCAGGCGCCTTGGCCCCTGGTATGCGGTTTCTTTCTTATAAAAGATCATATGAGTGTTGGCCCTGAGGCCACAGAATCAGGAGCAGGCGAACTTGGGACAATGTCTGGGGAACCATGAACTCTACATAATGTTTTGCTACATAAAATAATACAATCCTAGCCCTGACCAGTTTGGCTCAATGGATAGAGCGTCAGCCTGCGGACTGAAGGGTCCCAGGTTGGATTCCGGTCAAGGGCATGTACCTTGGTTGCAGGCACATCCCCAGTAGGGGGTGTGCAGGAGGCAGCTGATTGATGTTTCTCTCTCATCGATGTTTTTAACTCTCTATCCCTCTCCCTTCCTCTCTGTAAAAAATCAATAAAATATATTTTAAAATAGTACAATCCTGAATGTTCTTATACTTGAATATGGACTTACATTTTGTATCCTAAAACATCTGTTAAGAATGTTATTCAGGCATTTGTGCATTAAACTAGGCCACATTTACATACTTTCTTAGTTTTAAATTAGGCTTCTTAGTTTAAAATGAGGTTCAGTTAGAATTTTAGTATAATAACCATGAAATGTTACAGAAACATTTGATAAAGCCTATTATTATAAAATAATTCAGTCATCATTCAACAGGTAAGTCCTGTCATTCAAAGTACACTACTTTGTGGTACTTACATCAACATCATTAACATTTTACAGATGTCCAGTCGGACATCCCTCTCACAATCCTGGACCACTGGCTCGTAACTGCTCACCTGCCTGCCTGCACGATTGCCCCTAACTGGCCCCCCTTCCAGCCTGATTGCCCCTAACTGCTCCCCTTGCTGACCTGGTTGCCCCTAACCTTCCCCACCCCGCCAGCATGGTCATCCCTTACTGCCCTTCTCTGCCGGCCTGGTTGCACCCAACTGCCCCCCCTCGCAGCCTGCTGCTCAGTCATTTGGTCATCCCTCACTAATCCCCCTGCAGGCCTTGTCACCCCACTCAGCCTGTTTGTTTGTCCATTGGGTTTTTTTGGATGTGATGGCCCCTGGCTCTTTATATACATAGATGATACCATCCAATACAAAAGCATAGTTGTTTATTTTTTTATTTCTTAGTTAATCCTCACCCGAGGATATTTTTCCATTGATTTTTAGGGAGAGTAAAAGAGAGAGGGAGAGACAGAGAGAAACATTGATGTGAGAGGAACACATCAATTGGTTGCTTCCTGCATACAACCAACCAGGGCCTGGGCCAGGGAGGAGCCTGCAACCCAGGTACATGTCCTTGACCGGAATTGAACCCAGGACCCTTTGGTCCATAGGCTGATGCTCTAGCCACTGAGCCAAACTGGCTAGAGTTAAAAAATAGTAGTTTATAGTAACAAGATAAAATGTGAAAGGCAAGAGCTATTAATAAATAAATAAAACGGATTTGAGCAGCCTTGAATTCCTGCCAAGTTAATGAGAACTCTCCAACATCTGCTCATTTCTGACACATACATTCCCTCTTTTTAGGATTTTCCAACACTCTTCAGGTGTTAATATTTTAGGTTAATATTTCTTAGGTTAATATTTTCAATATTAACCTAACCTAATTTGGTCATAATTTTTTCTGATTTTGAAATATTACATGTCCCTACTTATGATATTTTCACTAAAAAACTAAAAGACAAAATAAGCAAACAAAAATCTTATATTGTCAGAGTAACAGCTGGCTGCTTACATTTGGAATGTGGCACTGAAGTTTTTCATAACATGGAAGAGGTCCTGGGAGGCTTCTATATTTATCTTGGCTAGTTTTGTAGCTAAATAAAAACAAAGTCCTACATGCCACAGTTGGCCATCTGCGCCTTGTCTTACTATTAACCACGTCAAAAATCAGGACATTTTTGTCACGTTAAATACACAAACTTAAGGGAGTCAGGTTCTCACACAACAATTCTCATTAGAATAAGGGGACCTGTTTCTTCATTTCATCGGAGAGCATCTTAGATGCCACTTTCTGCCTTTTTCCTGATGAAAGGTGGGCCGGGCCTGCGATGATGCTGGGCAGACCCCGTGTGTGGCGGCAGGGGCCAGGTCTGTGCCTCTGGAGAAGGCTCTGGGCCCAGCTCCATCCCTGAGAGACCTCAGGCCAAGGACTTATTTTTTTATTCTTCTTTGCTACCCTCCAAATTCTAGGAGTACTCAGCACCCAATTCCTTCCCTTCATCCACCTTTGGGCCTCACCCAATTCTTCCTTTGAAAAACTAGAAGCCATATATATTCTATGGGGCATGGCTATAGTGTTTGGCCAGATTCAAGCCTCGGACTGATGAGAGGGCAGAGTCCTCTCATGGCCACGTGCAAGTCCCAGCTGGAGGGCAGGGCCCTCCCAGCACAATTATAGCCAACAGCTATGGTTGTGAGCTTGAACCTGTGGTCTGAACACGTGGCTCCACGTGCCTTGTGATAGAGTTCGGATGCATGTAGTTGAGTGGGGATGAAACTCACGAGAATGCTGTAAACAACTTGATCACGCCCCTACTTTGCCTCGTGGCATCTGCTATAAAATAAAGACACAGCTTGTGGGTGTCATTGTTGTCTCCTCATCAGGGAGCAGCGTCCCATCGAGACCCAACTTTCATTCTCTTGTCTGTCTTTTCTCAATCCTTTCACCCCCCCCCCCCCAGGATCACCCTTGGCCGTGCTGGCATGGCCCAAGTGGCGCCTGAGCAGGCCCAAGTGGCATCCGAACAGGCCTGAGTTCAGGGGGAATTTAAAAGTGGTCAGGTGAAAGGAGGCTCCAAGGCACACGCATAAGGTAAGCTTAAAAAGCAAAAGTGAGATAAGGCCAAAAAAACAAAAGTAAGGTAGGGAGCCGAAGTGTGGTAAATTAGCTCGGTGTAGAACATGGGAAAATGCTTAATTGAAGCATTTTTAAAGTAGGAATTTTTAAATTTCTAAGGTAGAAATAAGCGGAAGCAACTTAGGGATTGCTATATAGCTGAAAGCCCAGAGAAAAGTCCTGCTTCTATCTTCAGTTTGTGGTCCGTGATTCGGGACTACCTAGAGCCCCTTCCCGAAAAGGGATGGATGAATGTGGCAGGAGGTGTAAGACAAATAGTAGAAAGTGACCAGAGGCTTCTGACTCCAATTATTCCTTCGGCACCTCCATTACCTCCTCCAGTCCCTGGGGCTACCATTCCTGTGGGGGAAAGCCCTCTGAACAATGTGCTTCCTCCCCAAAATGAATGAGAATTGGAGGAGGAGGCAGAGAGGGAACAACGCATGCAGGACTGGGATGATGGGGGTCTAATGCAAGCCTTCGAGAAGCTTAC